TACCTGAGGACGATCGATGTCCGATATGCTATAAGCTTATGTTATAGTAAGCATACTCTGCCTTTTGATCGAAAATCTAAGACTGACTAAAGTAGGATACTATTAGGAATAGGAGGTAGGTTTTCTTTGGAAGTGGTGTTTCCCGATAGAAAGGGTCTTCGGCAGAAAACAGGTAGAAAGGTCTAATATACACACACAACAAAGAGGTATACAAAAGATAGGATTAAAGAGAGACGGTTCATAAGAAGGCACGTAGTCAGCTTAATTAACAAAGAAGAAGGGTTATATTAAGTATACTTGAGAGTAGTTCTTATATCATGAAGAGATGTTAAACTTAATTCAATTTAGTTAGAAAATATAGTGATACTTATATCGCGGGGTATACGGCAGAATGACAAATAAAATAGAAGGAACATCCTTAGAGTGTTAAGTAGTCTCCTACCTAGGTAGGCTATTATATATAAGTATATATAATTATATATAAGATCGTTAAGGATTAATCTAATCGATCTCGTCGTCCGACGAGGAGGTTAAGTCATCCAATAAGGGGTAAGAAAAGTGGGTCCTTAGTCGTATCTCGACCGCATAAAGGGAAAGCCCCGCATTTACTATTTAGATATATTTTAATTTAGTATACATCTACCATATATACTAACACACCCCCTTAGCTCTTAGTGAGTATCGAAGTGAAAGAAACAAAGATCGAAAGTAAGAGCTAATAGAAAGAACAGAAAGGGTAGGAGAATAGGCCTAATATAATAGGGATAGCTCTATACCTAACTATTTAATAAAGGTGATATACTTATTAGCTAGTAGACGTTTCGTTAAACCGTTAGCTAGTATATTAATTATCTTTACCTATTTAATAAGTAGGTATTTAGCCTAAACTTCTTACCGAATCTATAGTTAGTTAATATCTATATACCGTAGTTTCGTCTAGAATACTAATTTCTCTCGTTTTAGTAGGTTAATAGTCTACTTATTATCGCAATTTAACGTCTCGGCTTATTCCGTGTTAAATTAGATGAAGGAGAACTGTGAAGGGCTGAAGCAAGACTTAATTCAATCTAACTAGGCCAACATGCTGTTTACATCAGTCTTGAGAAAAGAAAGAAGAGACAGGAGTCAGTCGTGGTCCTTAAGAAATGTTGGTCCCGTCTCGATGGAATCCTCTAGAACCTCGTGATAGAATTGCTCCGATCCTTCTGCCAAGACGATGTCCAAAACGGCCATGGTATATGGTTTACCATCGGGCCCTGGCCCGTCACAGTACCCCCCTCCTCATCTTCACAGTCGATATAACGAGGTCCCATCCCTATCGTTTTAGTGCCGATTTGCAGGCGAGATGCGCCCGAAACGTCCTTCATACTTATCAAGCGCCTCACTGTCTTTAACGGAATCTAACGGTTCCCACGTGGTCTCTGCATAACCTGCCCACTTCACTAGAACCTCTGTTCTGGTCCCTTTCCCGACCCTACGCACTCTATGGTCTAGTATCTCTTCAATCTGGTACTCTAATTCACCATCGATCACTAGGGGAGGAGGTTGCGAATCATCGACGATTTGCGAGGGAAGCGGGTCCGTGGCGGCAGGTCTTATGAGGTCCACATGAAACACTAGATGCACACCAGTTGGCATGTCTAGTCGTACTATATGTGACGACGGCACTTCTTGCACGGTATACCTCCCATGTAGCCAATCTAGCTTCTTCGAATGCCGTTGAGACCGAATGTTCTTAAGGTTTAACCATACCTTATCCCCTACCCGATATGTTGGTGCTGCCTGGCGGGACCGGTTAGCATACTCTTGCTGCTTGTCCTATGCAGTCGCAATAGCGGCCTACGCCCAATCGGTTGCTTCTCGAAGGCGTTTCACGAACGCTTCGCCCGCTCGCTGGGGGCTTCCATTTGGAATAGATGGATTGCCTTCCTCGATGCCGATAGGGTCAACGTAGTAGCTATGCGTAAAGAAGAATGGGGATATTCCAGTGGATGCGGCATCTCGATTGTTAATCGCTATCGCAACGACTGGTAACAGTTCCAACCAATCATCTTACGCATAAGATGTGAACACTCGCAAGATTCTTTCAACTTCCTAATTCGCACGTTCAGTGGACCCGTCTATTTGCGGGTGGAAAGCGGTAGAGAGTCGGCGCCGAATCGATAGCCTTTCGCAAGCGATTTCCCAGAATCTGCTAACAAATTGGGGACCCCGATCGCTCGTAATCGCCAGGGGTAACCCGTAGTGCATATAGAAATGCGTCAGAAATGCCGTGGCTACTCGCTCTATCGTCGTTTCGACCATCCCGACTAAGATAACCCCTTTCGTCAACCGGTCGGTGATCACTAAGATATTTGTGGCTTAATCCTCTTTCGATGGAGGTAGGTCAGTGATAAAGTCCATTAAGATATCGGCCCAGATTCGCTCGGGAATCGGCAACGGTTTCAATAGTCCATGCTTTGTATCACGCCATACTATGCTTCTGCCGCAGACTGTGTAGTTACGCAAGAATCTTCTCACATCCTTCGCCGCTCCAGGCCAGAAGAACCGTCGAGATAGTATCGAATAGGTGGCGTCTCGTCCTGGATGACCCGTGATATAAGAGTCATAAACCTTCTGAATAATCCCTGTGCGTAGCGGCTCGCTATTAGGGATCCAGACCCTCTGTCTAAAACACAGTAACCCCCTCTCATCTAAATAGCACTCGGAAAGGCTAGTTTTCGTGCCCGTTTCGACCGTAAGTCGTCTTTCTCCATTCTTCAATGCTTCCGAATATGCTTAATACGTAGGGTCCATTCGACGAGCCTATCGCCATTCTCGTTGTAGCTCTTCCTCTTCGAACATCGGGATCTCTTACTCGAAGTCCAGTGGGGCATTATCGTCAAAATTGCTCACGCGGGGACGACCTATTCGAATCGTGACCTTCTCGAACATCTTTCGGAACCGATTCGATAGCCTTTCGTCTTCGAAACTTTGTGGTATATCTTGACCACGCCGAGAAAGTGCATCAGGGCGAGATGCATATCGCCCTAGCCGGTATTGCAGCGTAAAGTCAAACTCACTCATCAGGTCTGCCCATCGCATCTACCGCTCAGATAGATATCTCGCCTTATTAAAGTATCGCAGGTTCTTATGGTCCGTTACGATAGTGAATCGGGGGACCATCTTCAGCTTAGGCCTCCATTCTCGCAGTGCGCGGATTATTGCCAGAAGCTCCTTATCATGGATCTCATAGTTCGATTCTGCTAGCGAGAACTTCTGTGAGATATATACGCATAGAGCCAACCTACCATCGTCCTGTCGCTGGGATAACACGGCCCCGGTCGCCCATCCTAACGCATCCGCTTCTAGTACCGTTTCCCTACCTTCTTCGAAGTGGGCTAGGATCGGTGCATCGATAAAGAGCTCCTTTAATTCGTTAAAGGCCTATTAGCATGACTCGTCCCATTCGAACGTGGCGTCTTTCTTTGTTAACCTTGTTAACGGTGCTGATAGGGTAGCGAAACGGGGAATAAACGACCGATAAAAGTTAGCGAATCCTAAGAATCCTCGTACTTCACGAACTGTCTTCGGGGTTTCCCATGCCCTAATAGCTTCAATCTTCTGAGGGTCGACATAAATTCCTTCTCCTACGCGGATGATAAATCCTAGGTATTTAACTATGTTCTGTTCGAACTCAGACTTCCCGATATCGCACTGTAATCCTGCTTCCATGAGTTTCTGCAGGACTTTACCTACTTTTCGGCGGTGATCCGCTAGTGATCCGTTCGAGTAAATAATAATATCGTCTACGTACGCAGACACGAAGTCATCGAGATATTACTACAGGGTCTGGTTAATAAACCGCTAGAAGGTCGCTGGCGCTCTAGTAAGACCAAATAGGGTAACATTCTACTTATAGAGACCGTATCGGGTTCGAAACGCCGTCTTCCACTCTTCGCCTAGGGCGATTCGGACCTTATAGAATGCCGCAATCACATCGAGTTTCGTGAACCATCTTGCGTTTACCATATTTCTAAGGGTTTCACGAATCAATAGTAGTGGGTATCGGTCCTTCACGCTTAGTTCATTTAACCCTCGATAGTCGACGCAGAATCGCACACCTCCGCCTAGCTTACGCACGAGGAGGACTAGAGCCGCGGCCGGTGAGTTACTAACACGTATAAAATTCTTGCCCAGTAGGTCCGTTATCGTCTTACGTAAATATAGCAGCTCTTCCCTATTCATGCTATACAGTGGTCCGTAAGGAGGTGTCTCTTCGTTGCCATTTCGGTCACGTTTCAGTGGGATCCTATGGTCGATTCCTAGGCGATGCGGTGGCAGCTTATCCGCTAGCTGTTGACTGAATACTCTGAGCCATTTCCAATAATGTTTCGGCAGTTTCTCCTTCGGATCAATACGCTTCTTCGGTTGTAGCGCCCTTTCGATGTCGTCTAATGTAACTTTTCCAATCTACAGTCGTTCCGGCTCCGAGACGCTATCGAATAGCTGTCGAATCGATTGCGCTGACATCTTATTTACCCGTAAGGCCTTCACTCCGGGTGGTCTAATTGAAGGGTCTCGCCTATTCCAACAGCGTGTTCGGCGGCCATCCCTGTCGAAGATATCAAGATATCCCTTTCTCGCCGAATATATCCCATCCACATCCTTCACCTATAGGTCTCCAAGTATTATCTCGTCTATCTGGTTCTCGATGATGTATGCGAACACGCGGTTCTGTTGGTGACCATAAATGTCGGCGTCGAAATATGTAACGTAGGTGATTCGTCCCTAATTCGCTACTACTCCGTCAAGCATACGTGTACGAATTCGAATGCGCGGGAGATCAAGAGATTTAACGAGTGCACCATTTATAGTTACATAACTCTGACAGCCTTAGTCGACTAGGGCTTTTGCAAACTGAATTCCATTCACTCTAACATCTAGGAGAAACGGCGGTGATTCGTTTTCTAATAGTCTCTTAACCCCCTCCTACTCCTGCTCGCGACTAAGAACAGGAGCTATTCGTTTTCCGACTCGTTCCTAGTGACCGAAAGGGATTCGGTCTCGTCTCCTATAGAATCACTCTCGCTATCCTTAATCGCTGGGTGTGCTTTCTTTACTCGACTTCGTTTCGCCGTAGAAACGATACCTTTTCGGTCCTTCTTCGTCTGTCCGGCGGCGACGCGGCTAGAGCTCGGGCGTTCGGCGGGTCGATAGGAACATTCTATAATGTGATGGTTATCACTTCCACAACGGAGGTAAAGGTCTTCCTCACGACGTCGGATCATCTCTTCATGACTAGCCCATTTCGCCCGCTTATCGACACCTTTTCGGGAACGATTCTCTCGATGGTTAACGCGGTTAGCGCTAATAGCAGGGGTCCAATCCATTGCATCCGGGTCCGGGTCCTTCTGTCGGCGACGGGATGATTTATTGTTTCTATTCTTACTTAGGTTCAAAGCGTCCATGTCGGTGGTGATTTCGTGTAGGCGGCTAACCAGCCCCGAATAGGTAGCGGGAACACCGCGATTCATCAGCGCCGCGCTCATTTCTTCATTCAATGCGCCTAGTAAGATCTGCCGCCGAGCCTCGTCTGGCCAGTTGATAGCTCCAGCGTCTGCGAATTCCTTCTCGAGCTTCGGTAGGAACCGGTTGAATGGCTAACCGTTCGTCTGCTTAATCTGGTGGAGCCTTCTTACGGCCCGTGATTGCGCGTTCGGGTCTCTATACATGCCTTCGAGGTACGCGAGTAGGTCGTCCGGACCGGCAGTGTCTCGCGAGTGTTTCACGTATGTTCCGGTGTTCTTCCATGCGAGCTTCTCGAGGCGCGAAAAGACATACATAAACTGATCCTGCCTCGATCCAATCGCTTCGCTATCGACGGCAAGCTTGTTTTCCATTGTGATCCGCTAAGTTAGCCAGTCGTTAACGCTCCCAGCAAAGAGTGGTGGATCAGGGAGTCTGGCCTTAGGCCTTCGGGTACTAGAGGCCACCGTTTCGGTCGGGGTTTGTGGTGGTTCCACCGTGGATTCGGTAACGTTTTCGTGGGTAGAAGTACTTGCTGCTTGTCGAAGCAGCATATCTTCGAGCTGGCGAATTCGCTCGTCTTGGGCGTCGGCGCGTCGTTCCATTTGCTGCATCATGGCCTGCACCCAGGGGGGTGGGGCCTGCTAATCTTCGGAGTTCATGATGCCTTAGTGTTTCGTTTGCTAACCGGTAGTGTTTCGTTGGCGTTCTAATGTTCCACTATTCCAATATGCCTAGGAATGGCTATCTTCTAGGGCTTTCCAATGACCAATGATACTTCTGAAAAATATAGAAGGAAGACTGATGTATGTGAAGGGCTGAAGTAAGACTTAATTCAATCTAACTAGGCCAACATGCTGTTTACATTAGTCTTGAGAAAAGAAAGAAGAGACAGGAGTCAGTCGTGGTCCTTAAGAAATGTTGGTCCCGTCTCGATGGAATCCTCTAGAACCTCGTGATAGAATTGCTCCGATCCTTCTGCCAAGACGATGTCCAAAACGGCCATGGTATATGGTTTACCATCGGGCCCTGGCCCGTCACAAGAACAGGCGTTTAATCTAATAAAGCTATTTAGCCGCGTGGCTAATAGCTAGTAATTTAGCTTCTGTTATAGATATAGTAATAGTCTTCTACTTACGAGACTTCCACTTAATTAGGCTACTAAATAATAAGAAGATAAAACCTTTAGAGCTCTTCCGATTATAGTTATCGGTAAAACTCGCGTCCGATACGGCTATAAAGATCTAACTATTTAATTAGCTACTACTAAAATAGATAGCTAGATTATTAGTCCTATTTAAATAGTAGATAAGATAATCTATAGCTTTTAGGTGTGTTTCGTTACACCTAGTTAGCGATTAGGCTAGTAATTAGTTAGCGAAGGTAGTGTCTAGTCTAGTCTAAATAGAAGGAAAGAGGGTTAATCTATATTTTGACTAGTATTATTTAACGTTCTTAGGATTAATTAGTCTAATTAGGTTAGGATCGAGTTTATAGTTAGAAAGGAGTGGTATTTTTAGTAGTTTCCTATCTAGAAGGTGGTATTTAGCAGCGATTTTCTTAATATAAGCTACTTAGCTAATCTAGGTTTTTCGGCGTTTCCTATCTCGTACGATTCGAATTCCGATAAATTAATTAAGTTCGCTATAGTCCTTTATCTTATATCGCTCCGTAAGGTATTTCTTAATCTGTTAAGTATATAAGGTCTTACTTTTGTAGTATATAGCGAGTAAGTCGTTAACAAAGATTATAATAACTATACGATTATTAGTATAAAGGGCGAGGTTATTAGGACATAGTTTAAAACCGAGTAAGAGAAGTATCTCTTTAACGTTATCTTCCTATCTCTTACTAGCGATTCGTAGGCCGTATACTACTCTATATAGGCGTAGGACTATTAAGTTTCGTCTTATACCCGGTAGGTATTAGTAGTACACTTCTTCTTTTAGTTCACTATTTAGGAAGGCGTTAACGGTATCTATCTAAAAGATCTCGAGGTCGAATTCGGTAGTAATCGCTATAAGCGTACGGAAGGTCCTAGCCACGAGGGTGCTAGTTCGTGTATCTTGGTTATTAGGGATCTATATATCTCCTCGCACGCATAAGCGCGCTTTAAATCGTATAAGATAGCCTGATTCGTTAGATTTATAGGCGTATACCTATCTTATTTATATAAGTTAGTAACGTAACGTATTGGACAAGCGAGCGAGCCACCCAACCGAGCGGGCCACCCCAAACCAACATACTAAATGTAAAATTTCACGACTTAATAATTTAACGCTCGAAGCTAATCATCTTATCTTAAGATATCTTGATATTTAATCTACTATAATACGTATTATCCTTAACGTAGGAAATATTTTAGGGTGTGATATTATGGATATATATATCTACATCGGTCGGTGGTGGCGTATTTTTGGTATTACGTGTAAATAATCATATTATGAATATATTAGTTGTGCTGTACTATTTCTAGTGCTCAGAAAATATTCTCTACGAAGAATCAAGTAAGACTAACTTCTCGTTGTTAATATATAATGACCTAGAAATTCGCCTTCAGTATAGTGTTTTGGGGTGGCCCGCTCGGTTGGGTGGCTCGCTCGCTTGTCTAATACGTTAGGTAATCTAATTAGCTAATAGCCTAGTAATTAGTCTTATAGGAGTGTTTAACGAATTCCGCGTTAGTAGGTTCGATCGTATATATATCGAGGAGTTTGTTGAATTTAACCTATATAGCCTAGCGAAATTAGTTTTCGAAGAGATAGCTAGCTAGTTAGATATAGCTAGAAGGAGCTAGTGGAATTAAAGATATTAAAGGCTTTAGTTATTTAGCCTAATAGGTTAAGAAAGCCTGAATATAGGTAGTGAGGTTAAGATATAGGCGCTTATTATCCTCTCGGCTACTATTAGAATCGGATTATATGCGCTTAATCGGTAAGTTAAGTGGTTTATAGCCGGAAGGGTCGAAGTTAGTGTTATTAATTAGGACGAATAGTATATTATCCTCTAGCTCTAGTTAATTAGATTCGCTTATTAAGTCGTCTAAATTATCTAATTTTAGGTCGAGCGGTAGTGTAATTAGTTAGTCGCTAAGGATTTCGTCTAAATCTCGAGTATCGGACTCGTTTTCGGCGTTTTAAGGTGTTATATGATCGACATTAACTATAGTATTACCTCTACCCCCTAGATCTTACTATACCGGTAGTTCTGTCGAATCTTATTAATTAGTGGCGTATAGAATATCGATATCCTCGAGGATTCGAGAGGTTTCTTCTTCGTTAAGAATAGTAATTTAATAAGATAGATTAGCGTTATTATATATTCGTATATGTTAATTAGCCGACGAAGGGTTATAGAATTCTTCCTTATTAAATTAGATATCGCGTGCACGAATTACCCGGCGTCTAGTAGGAACCTATATACGCTAGATATTATATACTTCATAGCCTACTAGATAGCTAATAGCCGCGCGTAGCGCTAGCTTAGCTAATTTAGGTAGCTTATTGATGCGTACGTAAGCTTTATATCCAAAGATTCGTAGGTTAGAGAGGTCTGGTTTGGCCTATAGCTAGTGCGGTGCTTTGTTACTATTAAGGAAGTATCTACTTTACAGGGTAGATGGCCTATCAACTAGGTAGGAGAGGAAAGCACCAAGTCAGATTAAGACAAAGACTGTTTCTTAAGGAAGATAAATCCCACTTCCTTAAGCATCTGTTTAAATACATCATCTTTTGTGTAAACAGGAATCAAACACGAAGTAAGGGGGAAACCATAGCGAAAGGCCACCGTATAGCTAACGTATAGCATATACTATAGGTACGGCCTATATACAGCGTGGCTGTCGCGTATCGCGGCCGAGGGGCCACCGACTGACCGCCGGATAGCTACCGCCTTAGTAGAACCCTCGGTCCACGTATACCTAAGGCCCTAATATCAGTGTGTGAATAGTCTTATCGAAATATCATAATAATTATCCCCCCTCTAAGGACTCTCTCGCCCTCGAGAGAAATCGATATATAGAAAATAAACAAACGAGCAAAAGGGGACGTATTAGTTAAAATAGAAACTAAACGTGGTAAACGTGGTAAACGTATAGGTAAGTAAACAAAGATAGTGCGTTTCCTTTATTAACGTTAGTAACGCTTCTTCTCCTCCTCACTTCTTATCCTCTCCTTCCTCCACCTCTCTCGCTCGTTAGCTTCCTTTATATTAACGCGCCTCTTCGCCCTCGAATCCCTACCTATATCTTGCCGAAAACCTCACGATGCCGCCGCGAATCCGGCCTCTCCTAGAGAATCCTATTATTATAGGGATTCTCTAGTATATACACTATCTTCGGACCGCGCTCGCTAAGTGAGACCCTACCTATAACGACTGGCCTATCTAGATCGAATACGTCCGCGACGTTAAAGCCTCGGTAATATATCGGTAGTGTTCCGCTCGTAATACTTTATGCTTTCCGGTAGGTTTCGCTAAATCTTCTTAAGAGGATAAGACTAACGGCTATAGGTTATAACTACTATAATAGGAGATAGCCACGACCTAGCTATTATTCTTTCGTAGGCGCGTGAAATATTTTAGGTAGGATAGATAGACCCGAGCGACCCCGGAAGCTTTGTAGACTAGCTATTTCCTACGGAAGCCCGTCTAATTATCGCCGGATTAATATAGGACCTATATTAAGCTTTTAATATTTCGGAGTAGGCTTACCGTAAGGAGCACTCGCTAACCGGGAGTAAGACCTAAATTAAGGTATACTTCCTTTACTTCTATTTATACGTATACTAACTAGCGTTTCGGTAGTTAATCTAAGCTAACTACGACGCGCTTCTCTTCGGCCGCCGTACTACCCTTCCTACTATCCCTACCCCCGGTCCCCTTAATACTCCGGAGCAGAAAGCGGACCGTTTTAATAAGCGGCTTCTTCGTCTTTACCCTAGAGACGAGGGATATATTACTTAGACTCTAGCGAAACGGGTCTTTTTCGATAAGGTTTCGAGAGTGATTCGCGAGGCTTAGGATAACCTAGACTCCGATAATAATGATAATACCTCTATAGGTGGAGATAAGGTAGCCGCCCTTATAATAGAGGACTTCCCCGTCTTTATAGAGACTAAGATCTAGGTGCTATTACCCTTCTACTACGGATTCTACTAGATTTCTTTATTATTTCCTCGTTCTTTCGGGGGCCTATCTATATTAGGGTGCTTTCTTTAGCGGGACTTAGCTAGGGCCTACCCTTAAGTTATCTTTCTATAGGGGATCGCCTTTCGTTTCGCCGCCGCTTCGGCGGGTTTTTAGTAGTAGTCCTTTAAATTAAATAAATTTCTCCCTTTCTTTCTTTCTTTCTTTCTTTCCTT